TTAACTTTAACCTGATTCTACCACTCTCTCTACTTTGATTTTAAAGTTGTGAGCTGGATCAAGAGGAGAAGAAAGTCAACGATAAATTAGCAACGTTTTAAAAGTGTCAAAGAGTACCAGTGTTGTAACGACAGTTAATTTTAGGATGAAGCACCGACTGTTCTTGAAGCGCTGCCTTTCCTTGCAAAGCACTTCGAGATGCCTTCCTTAGGTTTTTGCGTCGGTTTGAAAAGGTTTGTTCGGACTCCTTGGTCTTTAATTTTGCTAATTTTTGTGAAAATTTTAACAGAAGTTTATGAGAATCGAGTGTATGCATTTTTTGCATGGCCATATAAACCTACGTTTAGCGAGATTTGACATATGCTATTGAATAGTTTCGCCTCAAAAGAAGGGAGAGGCTGGCTAGCTTCCAAAAAACTTGAATATCAAAGATTGTCGCGCACGCAGGTCAAGTTGTTTTCTTTGGTGAAAACTGATGCGATCCAAAAAAAATATGTAGTATAAACATTCAGGAACTTGCTGACTCTGTTCTCCTAGCGACGCAGTAGTGAAAATTTTTGGGACAGTAGGGAGCAAAATCGGAGTAACTTAGCAAAAGAAGTGTCTGGGAGTCTCCTTATACAACGAAAACGACTCAAGTCGGTAGCAAGCTTTGCGGCTTTTGGAAAAGTCTGCTCAAATCCAGTACTGCTTTATTATATTCTTCGTTTGGGGGCGTAAGTTAAAAATCACCATCCGATTTTTTGTACTCCTTGGCTTTGGGCTAATATCTTGGACTTTTTGGCGCGATTGCAAATGGTATGAATGCAGAATGATGGTTCAAAAAGTCACTGAAAGGGCATAAGCAGTGTTTTTTATGTTTATTCCAGAAACGTTAGCGGCCCAGTAGTTTTGCCCGCGTCGCAGAGGCATTTTCGCTTTATGAAATCGTGCATTGTAAGTATCGGTTATCAGCGATTTTACGATCATCACAAAGCTCTGTGAGTTTGTTGTTTATGCTCATTTGCATTTACTTTATCTACATCCTGTTCTGTTTGATATTTACTTATTAGGATGCAGAATTATTTCCGCGATGCTTCGAACAATCGTTTGGAGCCCTCGGTGCTTCTGTTTGATGGACACCAGGCTTTTCTGTTTGTAGTTGTTTAACATCCTTCCTTCTCCCCGTTTGGCTTTATTAGAGGAAGTGAAAGGGGAAGGGGACAATAGGGCAGTTGATAACAAGGATTAAATTTCAGAGTTATTTGTGCTGGACGACCAGCAGCAAATCGCGGTACGGTTTCTGGCTATGCAACATTTCAGGATGTTCACAATCATAAAGAAGTAATTTTCTCTCTTGTGTTTATGCGAATAATTGGTCTCCCTGTTTATTTTATAAGCGATTTTTCAACGTGTGTTTTTGCTTTGCTTTCCATCTTGTTAGTAGTTCTCAGATAGAACCATCAGTTTCCGTAGCGACAGATGGCCGTTGTTG